AGCTTCTAAGTAACATTAAATTTTTTATTATATAATTAAAAGATAAAACTTATTATAATATATTACATATTTATATATTAAAAATATTAATTATTTATAAAAATAAGTCAGAAGAGAATTTATAGTAAATAAGCAGGCAAATTTGCCTGCGAAACCCTACAATCGGAAGAGTTTGGATTTTACTTATGGAATTCAAGAAAATAACTGATCAAATCTTACCAAACAAGGCTTAATTAATATCATTAAACCTTATTTGATGATGATCGACCTGCAAATGTAAATAAAAATTTATAAAACTCCATTGTTATAATTATTGAAATATGACATCTCCAACATACATAAAGGATCTAAAGACGGGACTGAGTTGACTCAGAATTTTCCGCAGTTAGAATTACTGCTAATGCACATACCAGTCGACTCATCAGAATGTGAAGCAGTTTTAGAAACTTTTGAATTAAGACGTAAAGTATATCGAGATTATCAGTATCATGCTTTACAGCAAGGATCATTAGAACTGTTGAAAATTAGAATCATAATTTTATAAAAAATTATGTATAAATTTAATAACATTGTTAAAGATCATTTGGCCGACCGGAATTAAAAAATTTGGAAATCAGTCATGTGAAATTAGCGGAGTCGACTCTGCTTTTATTTTTCAAAGTCGACTCAGCCGTCGACCCTGATCCCAACGTTCTGGAATTACTTGTATTAGCAATGTGACTGACTGGCTTAAAAAGAGTGTCCTGAAACGTACAGAAACCTCCGGATCATCTGGAAAATATAAATGCAGAAAACCTGCAACAACTCATGTTTTGATTCGTTGCATGTTTTGAACGTTTTCCGAATTTATCAGTCTTTTTTTCAAAAAGAATTTTTTTTCGGATGATGGATATAACGTGTAAGCTTTCTAAACGTTCTTTTTATATATATGAAAAAACTTCTTTTTGAGGACAGACTCATTCCGCTTTCCAACACTATATCTAAATAAGGTTTTTAATCTTGCCTTTATGCTGGAATGAAATTTATTTTCAACGCATGAGATTTTCAGCTTGTTTTCCTCTTTAATAATCTTCTTGAATTAGATACCGTGTCGTCAACCTTAAGACAGATCGCCTTGATTTGGTTATAAATGGATCTTAGCATGGTATCGAAACCGAATTCCTAAAAAAATTTTCATTATCAAATGTGCTGGTTTCATTATCGATACATAACATAGTTATTTATCCAGTCAATAATTATTCAGTTCAAAATACAAATAAAAAAACCATTGATATGACATATTTAAAAATGAAGTTTTAAAATAAATGCGAATGATAGATCGATTTCGCCTTATCGGTATTTTTTTCGTACCACCAATGCAATTGCTTCGGTCTTATACTGATGTTGGCTGTTGCTTCCACATTTGCAACCTTTGTAGACTTTGAAACCAAATTCTTTCAGAGGTACATTTATTCCCTTCCGTAAAAGGATAACTTGTCTGTGTAATTTGTATCTTCGTTCAAGATTGAGGTAAAGGGTTGGATCAAGGCGTTTTACTTGTCATTATTATAAGACCATAATTTCCACGAGATTTTTGATAGGGAATAGTCACGTGAAATCGAGGTATAAATGGAAATGTCACAAAAAAGAAAAAAAAAAAATAGTTTTGAATGATGCTAAATTTAAGCCTTATGTAATATTTGATCAAGAGATATATGCATTATAGTTGGGCGTAAGTATGCCAAGCATCAACACAAAGAATCAGCATATTTTTTTAAATTCGACAGAAACAAACAGATTAGAGCACCCCACATTAAGTATCCCCGAAAAGAGCAAAGATGTTCATGGATAGATTGTACCAATCTGGTAAGTGAAAATTTTCGAAATTTCATAAATCATTAAAGTTACACATTTGAAAAATGGTTTTTTTATGCGTCTTGTCCGTCAAAATTAAAGTTTCGGTTTTAAAGAGAAAGTGAAAAAGATTTAAGTTTTTTTTTTTTAAAAAAAAAATAAAAATTACAATACCCCAAATTCTCTCATTTTACTCATGGTGAGATGTGTGAAAAAAATATGCGAAATGTCGTTCCAAAATTATTATGCATATAGGTACTTGTAATAAAAAAAGAATTGATCTGTTTATGAATCCCCAAGATTGGAATATGTGGTTAGATAATGTAAAATTTAAATTTGTTGAATGTCTGAAAAAGGTGCACCAATCCTGCTTTACGCACCGTAAAATTGCAATACCTGCTTCAGATCAAATGTTTTTATTACAAAAATCGATTTCACATGAAATTGCTTTAATATTCATCCTTTTTTCGATAATAAAAAAAGGTATTTTCCATAGTTAACGGGTCGCATGAAGTAGAACAATTCAAGCATGTGTGTGTATGTGTGTTGTGTTTGTGTTTCGGAAAAATTTTATCGATTGAATAAATTATTTATTTGTTCATTTCGAGATTATTTCACGGCAAAAATTATTTCAACCCAAAGTAAATTAACCTAAAAAGACGTTGATCGGCCCTCGCATCGGATCTGAAATTCTGGTTAGTTCAAATGCATAATCAAATTATGGAAAATATTAAAATTGTCATAATCATCCCTATTGGAAGCAAGAATTACAAAGCATTATAAATTTTTTTTTTCCTCAAAAAAAAAAATTGCACATGATTGTAACAGATTTATCCTTATTGTAAATCCATTCTAAAAACTGTGTTTCATTGACTCTGGAAAAATCATTTGATACCACAGAAGAATGTTCGCAAAAAAAGAAAAGATTATTAATTTGTGTAATTCCGTTGTTACGAGCTAATTTTACTTCTTGATGATTAGGTGCAACACTTTTTTTTTTAGTTCAAGAGCAATTTGAAAATTGATCGTCTGGGAGAACTCCAAATTAAAAAAAATTAAAAAAAATGAAAGAAAAAGGAAAAAGACATTCATCTTAGTGATTAATTAATTTGCGGAAATTTGTTCTTTAAAAAAAAAAAAAAATAAGAAAAAAAATAATATTTCGACAATGCGCATGCATGCATATTTTTTTAAAACGGATGATTGAGTTTTCATTTTGAACCGCAGTAAACGTAGATCCATTATCCGCAGAATTCGTTGCGCAATTGGATATAAACGTAACGCACAGACCATATTCCCTATGTTATTCCCTATGTTATTGTTGTGTCTTTTAAAGGATAATAATATAAAGGTGGTTGAACCTCATAAATTTCTTTTCATTTCAAGTTTCCATTTATAATTGGGAGATCAAGAGATTTTCGCAAAAAAAGGTGAAACGAATAAATACGCCATCAATTGTTTCCCTTGACATGTGAAATTATGGATTCAGAGCCACGTTATCAAGTTCAAATCTACCCTAAATCTTACGTGATTTCTAAAAACGTGAAAAAAATATATGTTACATGATTTCTTGTGTCAAGTCAACTCGGGAAAAGCAATTTGCATTGAAACTGAAACGCATGGTCTCACAGGCAAATTACGCGATGCAGTTCGTCACATGAGATCTCTTATATTGAACTCTTACTTGGTTTAGATCGAATGACCCAAGAATTCACAAAAGAGGAATTCATTTTCATTTAAATTGGGATGAAGCGTTCATCCCGAATATTGTAGCAAACTCGGTCCGAATTTATAGTTCTTGGATATGAATATACTGTATTTTAAAATAAACCGTTGAAGGTCAATGAATTGTCACATGTTTGATGCAATCTAGAGAATTCTTATATCTCGAGGGCTTGGTACAAATATTTCTTACCTAACCTTAATACTGTAAACAATTTTACAAGATAAATCACGCAAGGATTGAAAATAATGGATCGGCTATAAACACTCATCATTAACTACTGTAATAATGTGTGATAATGGTTGGTTAACTTTAGATTGAGAATGAATTGCCTGAGCAACATAGGTGTAATTTATTTGTTAAAATTCTAATTTAAAGCACGAGCCATCAAACACCTTTCGCAAATATTATCATGTGATCGAATAACGTTATTACATCTCCACCAATCAGAGATATGTTAGCTTTTACGCGTGATGCCGATGAATTGAGAAACACGTGTAATTTCACGAGGGAATTTCCTAAACATCATTTTCCTGACTTTATATTAGGGTTGATTATTAAATTTGACACATGTATGGTACGCTTTAGGCCTCAAATGTCTAAAAACAAACCATCCGTGCATTAATCTGGAAAAACACTTTCAATACGATTAAAGGCGAAATACTATTAGAAGATCAATCACCTTCCTTTATCATGATTCTTTTGCAAAGTGAACCATGATAAAGTCTCTTTTTAAAGGTCATGTCATGAATGCACGTTTCATTCAACACGCTTTTTTTTAAAAAAAAAAATTGGCGTTATACTTTGATAAGGTGATCACTAAAATAAGAAAAGATGTGCATCACGATACAAATTCAATTCCCTGAGTCCATGATCGAAAATGTTTTCGTCGGTGCCCGATTTTCACAAACGTGTGTTATCCACATTATAGTCTCCGAAAAAAAACCGAAACACATGTATCGTTTTAAATAGGAGATGTTCATATTTATTTTCATTGGGCAAAAACGATTTATCTTTCAAGAACTTTTTTCTTTATTGAAAGTCATACATATGCAAGTCATATATTGTTTCAGTAATGATGAAACTTTTTTTTTTTTGTGACTGTTCTCAAAGGAAACGTGTGACTATAAAATTAACAATATCCGAGCAATAAGAAAACGAATTATTTTTAACGTTGTAAAATCTTGACGGAGCAACAAAGTTTTCGGGTGAAACATAACAATAATTTTTCACAAATGATACGTTCTTTGTCTTGTATGCTTGCTTGTTTTGCTTGTAACTCAAACAAAAATTTTATAAGGTATAAAATCTTTCAAAAATGAATCTAATGAACAACTAAATTTGTATAAATTAAGCATATATTGGGAAGATCTCGGAAAAACTCAGTTACACCGTGCCCCTTGAGACAAGGCATTTCTTCAAGATTCCCTTGAAATATGGTTTCAGGTTTTGATTATTATTTGCCTCTTTGATACGGAAAAATCGAGTAAAATGACCCTGGATAAGTTGCTCAAACACAATTTTAGTGGATATGAGATATAAACAAAACTTGCCGTGTGATCCAAACAAATAAAAACAAATGGACCATTAAAAGAGACAAGATAATGAGGATCGAATCTGATCGATATTGAATTGGAACACGTACCTTTTAAGATATGGAATTCGGGTATAATCTCATCTTCACCATTCCGGATAAATACTACCAAACAAAATTAAACTTTCATGAGATTTTGAATGATTTAAAAAATGAATGCAACAAACACGACCATCCGTGCGTCAGAGCTTTTTCTCCTTGTCCTTGTTTACTCTTCTATTTTAGATTTTGACGATTGGAGATTATATAATTGGGATCGTGTAAAATGAATCTCTAGTATTAGCTTTAACGCCCGAGTTGCGCAGACCTAAGGATTAAAGTTTAAATATAAGGTTAGGAATGTTTGTTTGTTGTCGAGGTCAAGCTTTACTGATTATAGCATGATGCTTACGTAATTAACTTAGTTTTGTGCTGTAAAATTTGTGCTTTGAGGAATAAACCGGTTTGAACAAAGATAAGGACCTTGTGCATGATTGACAGAGAAAGAGTTCAATATAATCTGGCGTAATTCTGACGGAGAGAAAGTTCGATTCTTGGGTAAAATCAAACCTTTATTATCTTCATTACCCGGTAAAACCTAATCTCAAGGGACTGATTGATTACCCTTATTTGTATATTTTTTATGAAATTTCTTTGTGTTGAAATTCGTGAAACGAATAAACCTTCAAAATATTACTTATCGCGAATGTATTTTTCGGAAGAAATAAGATTCACCCTTGATAACAAACGACTGAAATGAAATATGTCATCGCAAAAAATCTTTACCCAAACTAAGTTAAATTAGATCTATTATAAAATTCTAGGTTTTGGGAATACGCGCATGAATTCTGCCGATCATTGATGAACTAAACTAAGTTAAATTGTGTTGTTCACGTGATACGTTTCCTAGAAAAGCTTAGGTAGGGTAGGGGATAGGGGTTTTTTTTGATGGAATTATTAAATTGTTCTGTACAATCAATTGGTTTAAAAAAATTCAAGGCTCCTTCGCTTTCTTTAACCGACCTCAAAATTCCATTTATCTTCATTCTTTTGACCACCAAAAGCTTCATTTAACAAAGAACATTTTTTATTAAAAGGTACGTGACGCAGTTGACTTGCTTTAATGAATCTGTACGTGTGATACATTGAATGCCAGAATGTCTAAGTCTGCATGTAAACACAAACAATACAGCCTTCTTGCAGGAAATGTCCTTACTCAGGGCGTTTCTTTGTTTTGTTTTGTTTTTTTTTTTGTATTTGTATTTGTATTATTTGTACTTGTTGTTTTTATTTTTAAAGAAAAAAAATTAATAATAATCGAGAAATCTGACTTTCTCTTTTCGGGATCATGCTTTTTATTTTGATAAAAAAATGGCATAGATGATTTTTTGACTTGATGCACTTTTTTTTTGGTACTAGACATCAAAAGAATAGAATTTTTGAAATGCGATGAGAGTGGTTCCAAATTGTTTGTTTATTCCTTAATCACAAAGTTTAAAAAAAAAATTTTTTTTTTCCTAATTTCCAGAGGATTCGATATATTAAACCTTATTTCTGATATTCGAATTAGGTATATTTTCTTTGAAGGTTCTCCGAGAAAGGTATAAATTTAGTTAAATGGCGTGTCCTATTGTTTTTCTCTCGTGTACTTGGCAAAAGAATCTCAAAAATTGAAAACGTATAATAATCGACATAATGTTTGGAACAATCAATCTGATTAAAAAACATCATTAAACCATACCGAGTATACCTTAATCTACTCTTAATATTTTCTATTCCCGAGGTAAAAAAAAAATTATCAAGATAAAGTTTTTAACTATCTCCGAGGTAAAAAAAAAAAAAAATTATCAAGATAAAGTTTTTACACAATTCTAAAAAAAAAAAACTCGTTTTAATTTTAATTTTTTTTTTTTTAAAAAAGTTTTATCAAGTTGCTTTTAGATTGTTATAGTTATATAAATTCCTTAAAGAATTCTTGTAACTTACAATAATTTTAAAATGTTTTTCTTCGAATTCATTAGAAACCTTCGAAGTTTCCAACAAAAGAGAAATATGCAGGTATTCAATGGCATCATCAAAATATTTATTTACTTAGTATAAAATCGATCCAATGCATCTAATTTATACTATTTATATCTGCCAATCTTTGATAGAAAAAGTTTGCTTACATACGAAAATTCGCATCTTTTGGATGACATCTCTGCAAAAACGGTTCGTTCAAAATTTTTTTTTAAAAAAAAGAACCTTCAAAACAAATTTAGGGTTTTGCTTGAGAGATATTATGCTAGTCGGCAGAATTGTTAGTTGTGGTACTTGTAATAATTTCCCAGAGATCTCATCCCGTGAATTTGTCACCAAATCATCTAGGTGCCGTGCATTACGGGTAACCGTGAACCAGCATCGGTTAAAACCAAATCGGAAATCCAATTGAAATCTTCCGGATTCAGCATAAAGAAATGATGAAAATTGAAAAAAAAAAAAAATTAAAATTTGTCAAATCCATGGATATCTTCTATTCGATGTGAATTTTTTTGTAGAACAAAAATAAATCAGCAATTTCATTAATGCAATAGCACACAAACAACCCCCCTGGTTTTTTTTTTTTTTGAAAAAAAAGTAAATAAATAATATATATATTTTTTCTAACTTGTAAAAACGAATATTCGGTATTCACAAAAGTTAATATTGTCCCTTCAAATGAAATGGAAAAAAAAATTATTCTTATTTTGCACATGAATAACCTGATGAAACCTGATAAAGAATCCAATTTTTTGATTGCCGCATTTCTTGGGGATTATTAATTGTTTACCGTTACTGTAATGAAATTTAATAGAATCAAATTTTTAGTCTTTGAGGGAAATAAAACTTTTACCTAGTGTACGATCGTGTTACCTTAAAATTTAATAGAAGACATCCTTTAAGAATTTACGAATGTCGAAAATGTAACAAATGTTCAGTTAAATTTGGATATTTTAATGTATGACATGATAAACAAAAAAAAATAATTTCGTCGTGCGCATTCGGAATTTGGTTTCCTCCGAATCCCAAATCATCTCAGTTAATCAACTAACTTTCTTCTAAACTTCATGAATTCTTTCTTCTATATGTCCCTCCTTCTAGGCGAAGAAAAACAAGAAAGGGAAAAACATCCTGACTCGGAGAAATTTGACCTAAATTCGATTTCGTATCCAGCATTTTTGTGCATCAGCAAATCTTTTTTGGTTATTCTCGGGTGAAACTGGTAATTCTCTTATATATATTTTTTTTTTTCGAAAGCATTATAATTTCTCGCGTACGAAAAAAATTTTAAAGAGGGTAATTTCCTTATCAAGGGATTTTTCGTACTTTTGTTTTTATCTCTACATTTTATTGTTATTTTCATCTTCTTCCCTACACAATCTAGACAAGAAGAAGAATAATAATAATAATAATAAATACAATCCTGTATTATTAAATGGGAATTCCAGGGGTCAGCCAGTTCTCAAAATGCGTTAAATGCGTTGATAAGTCCACACCTATTTAGATAACGAAACGCGATGATACAAAATCGATTGCCTAAAGTGATTGAACTATCAGAAGTTACAATAAAACACATTACAAGAAAGGATTCATTGATCAAGTGAAGGTTATTAACACGGTCTATTTCATCCACGAAAGATAATAAATATTCTTATCAATTCTGTTCTTAACTTTTTCATTTATTAATGAACCTCTTATTCCTCGTATCACTTGATAATCTACCTTAAACCATGAGAAAAACGTGTTTTTTAATACATTGTACTCGCGCACCATCCATTTTGACTCATTGTTTTATCTTATTTACTGAAAGATTTGAACGAAGAATAAACAAAAAATTTAAAGTAGGAAAAAAATAAAAAATAAAGCAAACAAATGGATCATTCAATAAATCGAATTCTTTGACTCAGAGAAATGTAAAGTGAGATGTAATGACCTGAGGCGCTTTTTTTTTGTGCAGCTCCTCTTTTTCCTTTTTTAAAAAAAGGATGTTTTCAGAAAACGTTACATCAAAAGATAACTTGAACCCGAGAAATACTATTCGTGGCTAACATTTACTTAATTTTTAGGTCGCCTCTTACCAGAAAATGAAAATTATTACAAGGGACTAAACCAGTTATGTGATAAAACACAAGCGAGATCATAACTCAGAGAATCAATATGTGAATAGGTAATGCTGTTGAAAAAAAATATATTCTTGGAATTATTTGTAAACTTAAAGTATATTGTTTTATTGTTTTCCCCTCAACAAATAAACAAATAAATAAAGAAAAAAACAACAATAACTTTTCGACATTTTCATTATTTAGCGTGCTTTTGACAACTGTATGAAATGCATTTTCTTTGTTTGAGAATGATTCTATTTTAAGGATTAAGATTCGAAAAGTGAATTCTTAGTAGATTGAAAAGGTTTTATTTAAATGATCCGTTTGTTTATCATCTATTGTTACAAAAAAAGTAAAGTATCAACATATATTGTTGAATGGGCTAAATCTTAAATTGTTACACGGATGATCTATAAATGGAATCATTTGTTAAAGTTCTATTTTAAAAATACTAATGACAATTTAACCATAATTTATCTTTTATGTTATTTAACATTTCTCCATCATAATATAAAATATTACCTGAATTCTAAATTCTCATCCCCCCAACATTTAATTGATTAGTGAGATTATAATTGTAATAATTATATCTGAAATCTGTCAAAAATATAGATCGAGAATCGATCAAGGGAGGGGGGATCGGGAGATCAATAGATGAAGCTAACTCGCGTTCAAATCGTATACATGTATGTATGCATACAAACATGTATGTGCGAAATTGAAGATACCCAGCTTTGACAGTTGCATGGGAAAAAAAAAAAGAAGATGGAAGGGGGTCAAGCATATCAAGATTAACCGATTTGCTTGAAAAAAAAAGATATTCGGCGCAAACGAGTAAATAACCCCCCTCAACCTCATGAAAATTTACAATCAAAACATTACATGATATTGTATGATCATTTTGACCTGAAAACATCCCCCACCCCTTATTTTATCCAGTCTTGAGTCTTGATCAATCCATTTTAGGAGATTATTGGATTTTACGTGATTGACGCCTGCTTTCTTTCTTTCTTTCAAGTTTTGATGTTATCATTGATGTGTTCATAACGGGGGACAAGTAACGGGTTTCCTTTTTCATCATCTGAGACTTATTTTCCACGAATAACCTTTCTTTGTTTAAATCAATATACCCTCGATTTGTGCACGTGATATAAGTCATTTCATTAGTAATTCCCGAATATACCAGATTATACTGTATTTCCCCGGATTTTCTTTTCCTAATTTATAACTTTTCAATGAAATATTTTCGGTCATTAAAAATTTATTATATAGAAAAATAAATAAATTAAAAAATAAAGCAAAACAAAATGTATATCTTTCGAATCTGGTTAAAAATAAATGGGATATATTCACATGATAAAATAAATGAATAATATAATCGAATTTCCTCGTGAAAAACACAAAAATCAACGAAACTCGGAGAAACTGGGAGTTTATCTCAATCGCGCCATTTGAGAGAACTTTTACATCCCGTATCGAATAGAACGTTGGCCCTTTTCAAAGGTACTGAACCTTTGACAAGAATTTTTTTTGTGTTTGGGAATTGAATGTTCATTTGTCCGACATTGCGCAAATCACATGAAGATTCATGGTAATCGCATCGCATAACAGAATCCGTATTTTTTTTTTTTTTTTCCATGCTTTTTCATTTTTTTCCGTGAAAGCTACTTTCAAAGCATTTAAAAAATTTATTCTTTGATCTTTATTTATATTCAAGATGGGAAAATCAGCGAAATTTCATAAACGTTTTGTGAGTCAAACAAACTAAATCTTGAAAAATCCAAAAAAAAAAAAATGGTAATATTAATAATACGCATTTCATTGAATCAAACAGACAAGAAAAGAGAGAAAAGTTCAAGCAGAGATTTCTAATATTAGCGTAACATCAAAATCGGCATCACAAGATCCATTATTAAACATTGCAAAACCATCGGTAACCACAAAGGTCACCAAAAACAAGAAAAGAAAGAAAAAAGTACAATCCGTTACAACCGATGCTGTTGACGATGATAAGAACGAAAGGGATTACGTTGATGTATTTACGGGAAAGAAATCGTATAAACCTTGACTGTGCGGGAAAAATAAGTTTTCCGTATTTTCAGGGTAAGTAAAAGGAATAATTTTCATTTATCAAACACAAATCATTTTTATGAACGTTGGTTGCACACGAGAGAAATTCTACAGTTTTTCTTTTTTTAAAAAAAATCGCACTTCAATTTTATTTATTTATAAAAAAAAAATAATAAAGTTAAACGATAATTTGTTGATAATTTCGAAAACATGTGAATTGTTTTTTATACATTAAAAATAAAAGAATTTTATTTACTAATTTAATTCAAAGGAAAAGGTCATTGTTTGGAACTGAAAAAAAAAAAAGAAAAATATATTACAAGGAAGGAATGTGGTTATTTTCCGTTAGTGGAAAATGAAAGTAAAAACAATTGAAGGAAAAAAAAACTATATATTACAGTAATGTAAAAAAAAAAGATAGGTACAAAGAAAGAATGTGAATGTAAATGAACAGAGAAAAAGTATATTATATTGAACGGATGTAATGATAGGGTGACATATAATCGGAATTGATGGAGTTTAAATAAAAGGGGTGTAAATTTTACAAATGTCGTAAGTTTTCGGCACGTTCACAAAAAAATAAAGAAAAAATAAGAAAAAATTGAAATAAGAAAATTCATAAACAAAATTGGGAAGGTACAACATAGTGATATTAGATAACATAAAAAGTCTTGATTTTGCTTAATTGCTTAAAAATTGCTTTGCTTAATGTTAGAATTTAGTTTAAATTTCCATTTCGGTTTCGTTCGTTACTTTCGTTTTTCGTTTCCACCGATAAAACTCGAAAACGACGATATAAAAAGAAAAGGAATTCATTGATAAAATGCGTAAAAATATATGATCATAATGACTATGGTAATTATTTGTGTGATTAATTTAATAAAACAGGTTCGAACCATATAATACATAATATACATAAAACGTGCGAAAAAAAATATTTCATAGCGGGAAATGGAATTTTTAAATAAAAGGGGGGTAAAGTTTCGTTATACTTTTTTCTCGTTGCCGAAACTTTTTTTTTCCTTCAAATTATAAAGTGTAAACAAATTAATTAGAAAAAACTTTTCTTCTCGCCAAAGGTCCCTTTGTTGATAGGTTCCAATGCGTGATCATTCGCAGCTTGAGTTCTTGGGCTTGGGATATCAATCGGATTACTGGTGGAGTAATACGAAGTGTAGTAATCGTCATCAATCATGTCTGCCTTACTCTCTGGATTACGATAAGTGTAAATGTAATCGTCGAATTCTTGATCGAACGTGCTGATGCTTGTAAATGATGATGACACATTTGAATCGGTGTAAGAGGAAGCTACCGACTGGGGAGGGGACAAAACCTTGGAATTATAATCCGAAGCCTTATAAACATTCGAGGTGATCGTGATAGAAAAGTGCAGATTATTCGGGGGAGCTTGTGGTGAGGTAAAGTTTGAATTTATCGATAGAGATTTAATCGTGCTTGAAGAATTCTCGGCAGATGCGCATTCATTCGAGCAATAATAGTCATTGGAATCATAGACTCTTTTACCACAGACGCACCAATCAATCTCCATTTTTTGAGGATAAGTGAGGTAGGTAACTGAAATTTATTGTGTTTTTATCTTTTTTCTTTTTTATAAGAAAAAAAGAAATAAATTATGAATACAAGAAGTAGAAAATTTTACTGAATGTTTGGAAATTCGCTTGAAATCTTTTTTTGATGCAATAGGCTAATTAAGGAGCATAAGGGACAAAGATTTATTATAAACACAAAGGATTTTTGTATTGTGTAAAAATTGAGAGAATTTGGATTAATTTTTTTTTTGTGGTTTCAAAAAAAAAATTAATTGTATGTAAACTACGGAAGGTTGGAAAAAGATGTTGAGAATGTAATTCGGTAGAAATAGGTTTTGAGAAAAGAAATATTAACAATCTATCTCGAAAGGGGGGAAGAAACAACCGTTCGTTATTAATTCCTTACAAATTTGCAGGAAAATTCGAAGAAAAAGAGCAACAGATATAATGAATATTAATCTGTTGTTTTTTTTTATTCAATACAAAAATTGTTTGGTAATTATTATTGTTGTTGCCAGATATGAGAAAAAGAAAAAACGAAATTATCAACGTCCTTTTATATTTTATTGTTGGAATATAAAATAATACAAAAAAAAATTTTTTTTTATTAATGATTATTTTAAAATTTTTTTATATTAAGTAACTAACATATTTAAAAAAAAAAAATTTATTTTACAAAAAAAAAAAAAATTAAATTAAAAATAAATAAATAAATATAATATTATAATATTAATATTCGGAAACCAAAAAAAAAAAAAATATTTTTTAGTTAAAATATATTTTATAGGATTAGTTAGATACATAAAAAAAAAAAAAAAAAAAAAAAAAAAAAAAAAAAAAAAAAAAAAAAAAAAAAAAAAAAAAAAAAAAATAAAAAA